GTCCTGCAGACTACCAGAAATTTTACCAGATTGCAAGGGATGAATGTTATGAGATCATGCAGCACAGAGGCGAGCATAACCTGAACCCTGTGTATGAAAACCTGTTCCGCTCGATTCATGGCGGCCGCCAGGACGCCACCAATGAGATCATCATGGAAGTAGGTGCCTTTGGTGGTAATGCTGCTACCGACAGTAAGCTGGGTTACTATAATGGTCTTCGTCATAACGCTGCTTCCAAGTATGGACAAGGTGGTGGTGGCAACGTAGGTATTGCTACTTACTTCTACGAATTTGATTCCGTAGGCGATTGCCGCAGAGACGTAACCCTGAACTGCTTTGAAGTAGATGCCAACAGCCAGGCTTCCCTGAACCTGCTGGATAATATGACCGATGGTAAGTACCGCCGTTCCTGGACTTCTATCGGAGGTACTTCCCAGAACCTGGCGATCAACTGGATCCTGATGCGTTTCTCCGATGTGCTGCTCATGTTTGCAGAAGCAGAGAACGAGCTGAAGGGCGCACCGACCGCAGAAGCGATTGCCGCTTATGAAGAAGTAAGGGCCCGGGCGTTTGTAAACTACGAAGGCCGCATGGGTACCACACCCAATACCAAACAAGGTTTCTTTGATGCCATCGTACACGAACGTCTGCTGGAATTTGGTGGAGAAGGCATCCGCAAATATGACCTGATCCGCTGGAACCTGATGCAGAGCACCTTTGAACAGACGCGTACCAAGATGCGGCAGCTAATGACCCGTGAAGGTCGTTATGCCAACGTACCCACCGTTGTTTACTTCAAGCCATCCAACTATGATCCGGCGCTGAGTTCTACCGTAACGGTAAACAGCCTTGATTTTCCCAATGGCCTGAAAGCAGCACAAGTGTTTTTTGAGCCACAGGCTTTAAGCACAACACCATCCGGTTATACTTCCAGGGCTTGGGCCAACTCCGTGGCGGAGGGTGATATTACCGGTACTTCATCAGGCTTTGCCACTTACTTTATACCCAACAGCAGGGAACTATTCCCACTGCATACCGACGTACTTTCTACTAATTACAGACTTAAACAGGACTACGGATACTAAACTGAATAAAGGACACAACCGATAAGTCTTACCGTTCAATTTACTATTCTATAAAAACAGATCAATGAGAAAGAGTTTATTGTT